AATTTTCTGGGAGCAAAGCGCTGGGAGGCACTGGTCGACTGCAGACTTTCAGCCCATCGCGGTACTCGGTGCAGTGCCTCGGCGATAGGTCAAAGTCTTTGCGACACCCCGAATAGACCGACCCCCCCCCCGCACCAACTTTTCGGGTTAGTCACTGGTGAGTGCCTCCTTTTGCATCTCCCCCCCCCCGTATCTCCAAATTCCCCAGCTGTTTGTCAGGGTATGATTTGTCAACCCTTTCGAAAGAGGTATGTGCCATTGAAAACTTGGGGTCTTCAAAATATCGGCCAAGAAGAGGTGTGAGCAGGGGCATTGCCAGCTCAACTGACCCTTTTGCCCCTGCAAACCTTTGGTTCCACCATCTCCCTGGAAATCTAACCAGCATTGGGTCTTAGTCTGGCCAATCCGCTCAGATGAGTCCTTCCCTTCAGAATGATCTTGTCAACTACCAAGCACAAGGCACCCTTCAATAGCAGGTCTGGGTCAGGTCCAACTAAGGGTGAACATCACTGCCCCTGCCCAGTGCGCGAAGCGGCACCTTACCTAGTTTTTACATCATGGTTTTTCCTGGTTTCCTATAGTTGTAACTGGAAGCACCGGGCTGGATAAGGAGCTTTGCTCTAAGAACTAGCCCCAAGAAGCCGCTTGGGGAAACTCGGGCAGAGATTGCTCGCGCTGGCGAAGAAGCCCTTTTTTGGTTGGTTTTAAGTGGAAAAAGATCTGCAGAGGTCAAAGGGACAGGGGGACTCAGACTCGAATTTCCTGAGCAGGGAGCCAAACTGGTTTTGCCAGCAAATGACGCCATTCGTTTCCTGGTTTCGGGAGAGCGTCCAGCACCCCGCAGCCCCTGCTTTTTGGACAGTTGGGATTTGGACGTGGGAAAAAGCAGTTCTTGGGGGGTGAATGGGAAACCGAGGGCGGGAGCCCAATTTTCACCCGTGTCCCCTGAACAAGTATTCATTGCGGGGGGGGAGTCAAGAAGGGGCACCCCCTCAGCTTCCAGGGGAGTCTGGCAGGTTTGGTCCGAAGGAACCACAGCCTTCGTGTTCATCTTCCTGTTCCAACTTGGGAATTTCCAACTTTCGACGCCCATTAGAAGTGGTGGACCCAACATGGACCCAACTTGGAGGATGAAACTAGTTAGGCAAACGCTGTTTGTTTTAGTAACTTCCGTTACTTTTAAGGATTGAATCCCAAGGAAATCAGAAGAGCAGAGCGCTTGCATCGCTGATTGCGACCCAGGTTTCGGCCAGGGTCGTAAATTGGTTTAGCATGAAGCCCTTTCTTTCTGTGTCATGGGTTTTGGGTAGACAGTATGTCTTGTAGGGATTTCGGTTCCTGTAAAATCAATGGGTTCTTTTGTAACCACAATTATTTATCGTTCAGGAGTCTCATCATCTAAATTGGGTCCCATTGCCCAAGGCTCTTCTTTTTGGGGTTGAACCCCAGGGTATAGTCGTTCGGTGACCGGAAGGAAAAAAAACAAAAAACACTCAGGGTGCCTTTGGCACGGTCTACCTGGTCCGGCAGAAGGAGAAAGACCAGTGCGCCAACCTTCGGTTCACAGCCAGACAGTTCGTTCGACTTGGATCACTACAGCGTTTAGAGGGACTCATTACATATCCTAAGGGATCACGCTTTGAGGCCTGCTTTTATGTTTATCAGTTGAAAGGGAAACCAAGAGGACATCCGCCTATGCTATGTTATGTTTGTTTGTTTCTTTTAGGGGGGGTGCCCTAATTTGACACACACACACACAAACATTTCTAGGGTTACCACCGTCACCTCCGAATACCGCCTACTTGTTGTATGATAAGTCTGCCGGAAAAGGCTCGGTGTTGCGGAAGACCCGGTTTTTGTCATTTTCAATGCCCCAAGAAAGGCTCCTGGCCGTCGCGACGACCATTTGAGAGGTGGACCTGGATTTGGCTGAATGATGTCGGGCGTTGGTGGGGATGGTCTGACCGCTTGCGAAGGTCTGCGTGTCCAACAAGCGCGCGGTTGTCCCAATTCAAGTCAGGAAAATGCGTAGACCTTTAACGTCCAAGATCCTTTCTAGGCCCTCCCACTTCTGGAGCTGGAGCAGGAAGAAAAACATTGGCCAAGTACCCACCAAAAGCTGCTTGATTTCCTGTATTTGCTGCTTTCCTTGGGCCCCGATCACTTTCCCAAACGGATCCGCGCCGATTGCACCAGTTGGGATTGGCGACAACCAGTATTATTGGGTTTCAGCCACACGGGCGCGAAGCGGATTTGGCCAAACAACTCTGAAGGAACACTGAGGTTGAACCGTTGATAAACTGCTTCACTTTTCAACAAACCCAAGGGACTCCGCAAGGAGATTCCCTTCAAGATGTCGACGGTTGCTTCGGAGTAAGGGGGCACACACCTCAGGTACTTTGCCCTGAAGCAGATGACAAAAGTGAGGCGTGGAAGAGTTTTCTCTGGCTTGTCAAACAAATCCCAATGCCCTAAGCATGGAACCTATCCCTACCCCAAGCATCACGGAGCTTTGCTTTGGGGTGGCAATGACCTTCACTGGAAGTTGTTGGACCTTAGACTAACTTAGACTGGTCAATTTCAGAGCACCCCCCCCACCACTGCTTTTTGAACAGCAGCACCTGGAAAGATGCAGTAGGGGTTGCTGCTAGGTGCATCGCTCGGGGATTTGTCCTATGTCCACTGCATGTGCCGTCACCGGAAGTGAGCAAGGTTCTAGCCACAGACTGGAATCAACCCAACCATGCATTTTCATGAACTGCGATTGTTTTTCTTACCTGTTGGCAAACTGAACAACATGTTCCCAACATGTTGGCAGGTTTTTTTCGAGTCAAGTCGATTTAGTCGCTGGTCAGACTCCGGCGAGTCACTCTTGGGACCATTTTCGTCGCACTTGGGCCAATCCACTTCGGAGGAGAGACCACACAATGGAGCTCACCTGGTAAAACGGGCTCCTTGGTGAAGGATTCCTTCACTTCCAACTTGCGAATTGTAGCATTTGTTTAGCCTTTGCTTTCCCCTACGTCATACTGATGGACAATCTCCTGCACCAGTTGGGATGGCTGAAACTTTATGACATTTTGGGATAAACCACTTACCAAGTCGTGCGGGATTTTGTCCACCCACAGTAGGGATGTGGCACTTTGGTATCTATGTCCCACAGACGGAGGGCTGATGGGTTTCCGGGTTTCTACGGCATTCTAAGGAGCCAGAAGGAGTTCTGTAGGGAATCAACCTGTTTTGGTGGGGACTAATTTCCTGTACACTTTACTGTCTCGCTGGTTTCTATGACACAGTCCTCGTTCTGTTTGACCGGATCCCGGGTGTGTTGTGCTTTTGGCCTGGGTATTAAATCCACTAAGTGAGTAGTATATAGCTAGGGTTTTAAGGGGCCTAGCCCCAGTTCTACTTGTAGTCATGTTTCTAGCCTCTTAGTCCAAGATCCACAGCCATGTGGACCGAAGACATGAGGCACGGAAAGAAGAACCTGAAGCGGTGTGTCTACACTGAGCCGGCACCCCGGGATGGCCGGTGTGTTTTTTTCCTCAGCGAGAGGTGCATGTCTCCGTGATAGCAAGGGAGCTCAACATCTGGGGCCCGGTGTCTTTTTTGGATGGTACCCTTTTTTGTTTTTTGGGTTGGTTGTAAAGGATGCCAAAAGGAAAGCAACCAATTTTGAGCTTGCCCTAGCTTGAAACACCCATCATGTCTTTCTTTGAGGGAATCAACTGGGGCTGGTCTGACCTTGCTGGTTCTCAGGGAATCAGTTGGAATCAACACGCAGTTCCAACCGTTCTTTTCAACCATCGTGCTTTCCAAGTACTGATCGCTGTTTCCCTTGGTTTTTGATGGAATCCTGAAAAGAAGGATTAGAAAGAATGGGAAAGCGTCCGCTAGAGTTGAGAGGTGTAGGTCCCACAAGTCTAATTGTTAGAGAACAGCGGGGGCGGGGGGGCGGGGGGGGGTTCCAAATGAACGATGAAAAGGCACCCCATTTCCTGGTTTGCAGGGGTTTCCATGGGGTGAGGCCCGCTCAGACTCCACAACGAAACAGCATCTGTAGCAATCTTACGTCGTTGTTGTCCGGGTGGACCTGGTTTTCCCTTCAACGTTGACAAACTGGGATCTCCTCCAAAGAACAACTTTTTTTTGGTTGATGTGGCGCACTAACTGTGAAACATCATTTGGGGCCAACAACAATAAGTGCCATCTTACTTTTGTTTGGGGTGGGTGTCTTAGCAAAAACAACCAAAGGCGCAAAATCATTTGGTCGCTCAACAGGGGCTTGGGGTGCTGTCAGAGGATATTCTAGAGGAATATTGCCAAATGCTTTCATAAAAGGATTCATAGCCGTGCCCCGGTTTTGACCATGGCACCAAATGGCCCTTTGTCATCTTTCATATTTGGAGAGTTGATGAACCTCCATACTTCAGGAAATGCTTGTGAAGGACGTGATCTTGGCCAAAGCAGCGTCACTCGCACCCCTCCCCAAACCGCAAGTACGTGGGCACTGTTTTGACCCACTTGCTTGAAATCTTGGGCCGGCTTGCTTGACGCAATTTGTTGGGTGTTGTCCCATCTAGGGGTCTCTTCCAACGCTATTTTCACAGTTTGGGGTAGACTAACTATGATACAGAATCTGATTTGAACATATTCTTTCTGTATACCCCAGATGGGGCCAAGCCATGATTGTTCCCTGTCCCTCAGAATGTTTGCGGTCAATAGTCCAAGTCATCACCCCAAAGCACGCAGTCAGCGGGGCCACGGTTGGTTTCCAGTCAATTCCCACATACCTGGGGCCTGACTGCAGCATAGTGCTGGCATGCAGCAGCCTGAAATTGGCCAAGGGTGTCCTTTGCTTTCCAGGTAAAAATCGGGGAGCCCTCAAAATTGTGTTCTTTTGAGTTCGCTTCAAAAGCAACCAACTGGGAGTTCCCCCAGAGAAGAGACGCGTTAGGTCCACAAGGGAAACATTCGCATTTGCCTTGAACAATCGGTTT